CTACTTACATCATTTTTAGTTTTCAGCATGGAGGTAATGATACTGTAGCGCCAGCTTGATGCTTCTCCCTGGGATTGCTGTTACAAATAGCTTTATCAGGCTGTCGTGATGGCAAGTTACTCTTTATCGGCCAAGAGTGGCTAAGAAGATGCCTTTATGCTCCCCAGATTAGATTTAGTGATTATTTCAGTGTGGACATGCGAAAAGGTAGTGTTATAAAAATATTAAATTGTATTTGTCTGACAAGTTATAAAAACAAATTAATATTTCCTTCTTGTCTCTTTTTTATATTTTGATTTAAATGTAAAGAAGGAATGACTGAGAAAATGCCATCTACTCAATTAAAAAACAAGAGATTTCAAAAATCTCTGTGTTTTCAGATATTTAGCACAGAAAGCAGTTTACTTATAAATAAGTTAGGGTGCCATGTAGATGTTCTGGCAAATATGCTTTATTAAAAAATTTAATATTTTCGTAAGTAGCTATTGTTGTTCTGGGAGATTACAGAAGTGGATGCTGCGAGCCTATTTTATAGCCTAGTGATTCACCAATATTAATTATTGGTGTGTTACCTTTGAAATTCTTTCCTTAAAGTTTTACTTTGATACCACTAGGGTGTTTGTGTGGGGGTGTTTTTAATTCCTTTAATACATTTTTTAGTGTTTTACATCTTTCCCATTTTAGTCCCTTCTTTGAGTTTGAAATGATAACCAGAATTAGTTAACTAGCATGTTAGAAGCTGCCAGAAGTCAGGATAAAGTGTGGTTTTTTGTTTTTTTTTTTAACATCCTTGAGGTTCGTGTAGTTGTATTTATAATACTGTGGTCTTCCTATGCATTTGAAATGGGTTCAGTATATGTAGTAAGTTTCAGTCATTTGGTTTCCACAAAATAAAATCTCTCGCTTTAACAGCTGCTGGAACCCAATGTGACTACTGGGCTGGAGGAGCCCTGGGAAGCGAGCCGTCCATCGGGAGTGTGATCCAGCTGCAGCAGTCCTTCAGGGGCCCTGAGTTCGCCCATAGTTCTATAGACGTGGAAGGACCCTTTACAAACGTCAACAGAGGTAACAAGCGTCGGTTGTCAATGACCTTGGCCGGCAGTAGTGACTTTCCTGTCTTATATGGTATCATATCGGGAGAAATCCCATCAGCAGAGCAGTGTGGGTTGTGTTCTGGATGTATTCTTGAAAAACCATCATGTGCCAGGGCTGCTGACCTTCTAGAACTCACACCTGGGTGAACTGGTACTTCAGAGCTGGCCTGGACAATCAGATTTTAAGATCCCAACTTTGGGTTTAAGTTCGCAGATTTTTTATTTAAGCAGTGAGAGTCTAATGTACATTAACTGAAACAGTAGCTTTTAGCTTTTTCCCTCTGTGTCTTTGATGTTGTCAAAGGTTTAAGCATTTTATGAAGTAGAGTGCAAAAAGTCCAGTAATATAGTATTCTTAGTCAAAAGATTGTTTTCATTATTTCTATGTAATTTGTTGTCTAAAACAGCTCTAAGATCTGTTCAGAGTTTCAATACCAGTATTAGATCTGGGTAGACATCTGGTGTTTTTGTTGTTAAAACCATAAAATTATTTACCTGTTAGCAAGTGAAAATCATTTTTAAAATTGTTGCTTTGGGATCAGCCTAGTGTATCTTAAAATGTTGATTCTCACTAAATGGTCTATAATCACTTTTCATTTTATAGCATCTTTAAAATTTCTTTTAATTCAGTGTTTTTAGAGTAATAAGTAGGCAAAACTATAGGCCATCCTGGAAAGGTAGGAGCAGATGAAGTGAACAGTTCAAGTTGCATTGTTTGGTGACATTTGTCTGGCAGGGACTATTGGTGACTGCTTTAAGCCTACAGGTAGAATTTGAAGTTAGAGAACTGATTGCCTTCTTGTATGTTATTGTAGAAGCTAGGTCAGATTCCATTCAGTGATGATGCCTCTTGTATTTTTTCAGATTTTTATTTTTTGATTCATCTTATTCAATGTTTCCCAGTAGCTTTTTCCTGAATTCAGAATTTTTATTTTCAGACGACTGGGATATCGCTGTAGCTAGTTTATTACAAGTCACCCCATTGTTTTCACATTCTCTGTGGAGCAACACGGTTAGATGTTACCTCATTTATACAAACGAAACTCAGCCTGAAATGGATCTTTTTCTTAAGGTGAGGATATTTATAAATTCTTTATTCACTTTATTCATATACCATTTAGTGATTTAAAATACAAGTTAATACTGTACCCGATTTATGCTATTGCGACATCTAAACCAAGTAGTTTACTGCCATTAAATGTCTTAACACAGCAGGTAGCATCTTAGGTTTAAGAGAAAATCTTGTTCTGTATTATCAGCATATTCCAGTTAAGATCATGGAACTTCATGTTTTGAATGTTTCATCCCCGTCCACAATGGCGAAGACCCTTGTAGATGGTGCCTGCTTCAGTTGAAATATTTTGAAACCAAAATTTCCATTCACTGAATATAGATTATTAACAAACACATGCTGAGAGAGCTATTACTTAATAACTTAATTTGTTATAGACCAACATTTAAAATTTACAACATCTGTTTGTTTTAGTGTTCTAATGTAAAACATAGTGAACAGTTTTTACTCTGTTGACCAGTGGATTTATATTTTTCACTTTTTATAGCAGTAAACATGTGTAATCATAAAAAATAAATACCAAAGTAGAAAAAACTAACATTTTTGTTCTGTTGGTTTAGATTTTACCATGAAATAATTTACTTGTTGAGCTAGGAAAAGTTGCTAAGTTATTATTACTGTTTTTTAAAAGAGAAACTCACTTTCTCAAAGTTTTTCTTTAAAATGTGATTATGCCCTATCAAAACTTTACATGAGAAAATACCCAATGTAGACTATCTGTTCTAAAGTAGGCCTTTTGTTCTACATAGGAGGATGCTGACTAGCTCTTTAGCTTAATAGCTATGCTTTTTATACGTTCTCTTTTGTCTTCAGGACTATTCACCGAAACTTAAAAGAATGTGTGAGACAATGGGATATTTTTTTCATGCTGTATACTTTCCACTGGATGTTGAGAATCAATACCTCACTGTAAGAAAGTGGGAAATTGAGAAGAGTTCATTAGTTATTTTATTCATTCATTTAGCTTTACCAAGGTAAGCTGAAAATTCTGTAACTACTGTGAGTTGACTTGTAATTGAGATTGCCAAATGAACTTCAAAGATAAATTAAGTTCTCCAAACCACAATAATCCGAGAAACTCAATATATTCTATTACCTTTTATAAATAAAATAAGGAATTAAAGGTTTCCTGCTGTTAAACTTGGTTAATCAGTCATAAGATCAACATTTTTAATGTAATGATCATTTTAATCAGGGTTCACAAGCTCTGGCCTGAGGGCCAACTCTAGTCAGCCACCTTTTTTTTGTAAATAAAATTTTATGAACATGGGGCACAGTCATGTTCATCCATTGATGTAGCTTTTCTCATACTGCTTTACTAGAGCTAAGGTGTTAAAACAGACATCTTGAAAAGCCTGAAATATTTCCTATCTGGCCCTTTACAGAAAAAAATGGGTGACCCCTGATTTCAACACCCAGCATTAACTTTTGTTACTTTCTTTTTTGAATACTCATTAAGAAATAATTGCACACTTGATTAGAGGTTAAGTCATAATTTAAATCCTCTGAGGCGGTTGGAACATGAATCCAGTAACATGAAGTATTTTCAATAACTTGAGCTGTTTCCTTCTAAGGTGAATAGAATCATCTGAGAAAATCTAGCCAGAAAATAAGCATTGGGTTTTTTTTTTGGCCAATTAAATGTATAGATAGAAGGCAAAATAAATTTAAGGAGAAATTATTTTTCTTGCTGCATTTACTATCCGATTGGATTTAACCCTTCCCAAGTGTTTCTCTTTGATTGAAGACCCTTCTGTCTTGAGCTAGCTGTGTGTGGCAGTATGTGGAGCCCGGGTTCAGCCAGATGTCCTGCAGAATGAACCCCCCGACCCTTAAGATTGTGCCCAGAGACCAGGTGGCCGGGGACCCCCTACTCAGGGAAGGCTCCCCAGAGCCAGGGTTAAGGACTTCTCCCCCTTGATTGCCTGCAGTTGGACCTCCGTGCCCTCCTCCCCCACTTTTCCTGCTTTGTATTTATGTTACTAAGAATATATCCTGTTTAGTTATTTACTATCTAGGTCATATTTTATCTCAGGGAGTGATAGGATATGTCGCTTGTTTCTAATTAATTCTTATATTTAATCCTTGAACTCATCTTGTGTTTTTCTTTTATTCATATTTTGTTAAAATAGTATACATTATTTTTCTACCTTTAGCGTTTAAGTTTCTCTTAATCTTTTACTCATAATTTTATGAAAGAAATTAGCTTATCTCCTTTAAAATCTTATTTTTTATTTAAACAGTTTTATTCTTGAAGAATGAAGTTTTAATTTTTATGATGAAACCTTTCCTTAACCTATACTTTGCCCTTAACATTAGGTTTTCTTATTTGCTGATTTTTTTTTTTCTTTTTCTTTTTCTGGCTGCTAGGAAGCAGGCAGGGGGGGGAGGGGGTGGAGCCTGTATTTCTGTCAGTTTGTCCCTTCACCTCTCCTGGTGGCTCCTGCATCCTTCTCAAAGATGAGCCTAGAAACATCTCCGCCTGAGCTCAGCTCCCATTCCTTCCCTCCCACAAAAGTAATTGAACCAGATCTCTATTTCATACCACCTGTGCCCAGGTGAAGGTTTGGCAGGGAGTAGCCTCCTAGAGCATGTGCCCGCCCGGAAGCCCCCTGGCATTCAGCTGGGCCAAGACTCTCCTCCAAAGCAGCAACAAGTGAACCGTTGAAATTCTCAAGTTCTGTGAAACAGGATGACTTTGCAAAGAAAATATTGTTTAGATTGAGTGGATTCTCACAGAAATATAGTCAAAACTATTTTCTTCTGTTTTGTATTGGGGCTGGTATTTACTATGCAAATTCTGGATCATACAAAATAGCTCTTCCTTGCATACATACACTAATTCATCTCTCTGGGACATTTTCATTTAATGCTTTTTCAGAAAGGGAAAAGGGCTGCACTTTTCTGTGTGATGTAGAAAATCCTAGTAGATTCTTGTTAGATTTTTCTAGAATTTAAATAGGAATAGTATATGAGCTATGGGTATGGTTCAAGCAAAAGTTTTTGACCTTTAGCCAAGGTTTTTTTTTTTTTTTTTTTTTTTTTAATTTTTTTTAAGATTTATTTATTTATTTGTGCATACAGAACTGGGGTACAGGCCAGAGGCTCATGGGCGGTGAGAGGCTTCACCAGAGACAGAGTGGGGAGCAGAATAGGCAGATCTACGAAGTACACTGCTGAGGGAAGCAGCGGGTGGGCCAGGAGAGGTCTGGCTCGCCATGTGGTCTCCTCCGGGGCAGGCTGCAGGCGGGAATCGAACTCATGAGGAAGTGGCTTCAGATTCTCAGTGCTGTGCTTTAACCCGCTGCGCCACCAGGGAGGGCCTAGCCAAGGTTTTTATTAGCCATCTAGCATCCTCTCCCCAACCTGCCTCTGGATCTTTCTTACAGTATATCTTGGGTATAAGGATTTGGGTCATTTTTTCAGTGAGAAAAGGCCAAAGGTCTGGAAGAAAGAAAAATCTTGAGACTTTGGGACTGATATTTGTACTTTTACTTGGGAATTATATATTTTTAAGTGGAATCAGGTTTCCCACCTATTTGAAAGTCTCATGAGTCTGGTCCATTATTTTGAATGAGGTTTATAATATATCTGAGTGTTCTTTTTATTAGATTAAAAAAATTAAAGTACTATATGCTTTAAATTTAATGCACATTTTTGTAAACTACAATTTGTAGTTAATTTGTTAAATTGGTAGAACATTTGTTCTCAGCTAGAACAGAGGTATGAAGACATTCATTTATGAAAATCTTTACTTGTTTACAGAACAAGCTGAAGCTGGGTCTTGTTTGACTGCTAGTCTTTGTAGCTTTAACCCTCATTATTGACACTCAGGTTGATTCACTGCTGCCACAGGGCAGAGTACTACAAGAAATACTGATTTTCCATCTAGCCTTTTATTGGAAGACTGTGAAGAAGCTTTTCTGAAAAACCCTGAAGGCAAACCACGATTGATTTATCATCATTTGGAGGACGGGGAAGTGAGTTCCGACTCTGTCCGGCAATTGCTTGACCAGGTCTCTAACCTGAACGTAGCCAGCAAAGCTAAGGTAAAATTCAGAGGGTTGTTTTGTAAGAATCGGAGTGGGCTGAGGGAAGCGCTAGAGTTTTCACACCTTGAGCTGAGAGTGAGCCTGGTGCGTGTCAAAGGAAGCAGGGAAGCTGGAGGACTGGGTGTGGGCAATTAGTGGGAGAGATAATGGGACTACCTAGGAGATCCTTCTAGGCCATTTTGAAAACTAAGCCCGTCCTTGGTTCTTTTAGCTGGGGAGACGGTAGATAGTGGGTGGGCGTGGGAGGACTTTAAGCAGTAGGAGAGAACATGCCACTCTGGCAGTGATCTCACTCGGGCAGTGAGACTGGCCCGGAGTGTGGTGGGCCGGGCAGAGGTGCCAGGTGGCAGTCGGCCAGGTGAGAGATGCCGGGGAGTCAAGAAGGTGCTGGGAAGCAGTGGGACTCTGGATGAATTTTAACAATAGAGCCAACAGATTCCTAGCAGAGGAGTGGTGGGCCGTGAGAGAATTAGGGGAATAAATAGCAACACGTAGCCAAAAGGAGTAAGACCTGTGAGTGGACAGAACAGGTTCTTTTCTGCCCCCCACCCCCTCTCCTCCTCCAAGCACAGTCCCTCCACCTGCTTTGACGAAGGTCTAGAGTAAAGAGGAGGCTTTCAGAGCACCTTTCCTCAGGGCACCAGGGAGAGCCGGACACTAATGGGGAGCGAGACATGACCTTACCAGGGCGCAGGGCGGGGCCATGTTCAGAGCAGACGTGCACGCCCTTCATCGCTGCACCCTGAGACGACAGGGAAGCCCTTTAGTTCATGTCAGGAATACTGAAAACGCCTGGGATCTTGGCGCTTTTTGTCTGTGCTCAGCCAAAACGTAAGATTAAATGTTAATATAAGCATTTTTCTTAACATAACTTAGTAATGAAAGATAGCTTTATGTTAAATTGAAGAACTGAAGACAAAAAAAAGTGCATTTTTATTAGAATTATTGCCCAGAGCCACTTCATTCTTGAATTATTTTGGTATCTACTAGTCCACTAGGCCCCATAGGAAGAAAGTACTAATTTATCTTTCTTAAGATTCTATAAATAATACTAGTAAAAATTAGTACACTGGAAGAATGGAATTACTTTATAAACCTCCCTACTGACCACTTGATGTGTTTTATAAAACTATTGCTATATTCTGTCGTATTAGCTATTAATCACTTATTAGCAATATATTTGTTCTTAAACAGGACATTCGTTCAGCAAATTCAAAAGACTTTTTCATAACAAAATCCCACTTTGTCTTTTGGTTTTGTGAGGTTAGAGCTTTACTGGAATAAAAACAGATGTCAATGTATTGTGAAGGCGTGTGTGTCGCGTGATGTGGAGACACGTGCCAAAGCATGCTTTCCTTGTATTGCGGCCAGAATTTTGCTGTTAGCAGCGTGTGACCCTGACAAGCTGGTCGGGTGCCTCAGTTTACTCCTCTGTAAGTGGTGAGAGGAGCAGGGTCTCCTTGTAGGGCGGATGTTGGGATAAACGAGCTAACATGTCCTGGGAACAGTTCTTGACACACAGGCATTTGCCACCATCGCCTCCTGTTACTGTTTTTTCTTGTTAAACTTTTTCCCCCCAGATTATTGATCATTCAGGAGATCCAGTTGAAGGAGTTTATAAAACTTATGTTTATGTGGAGAAGATTATTAAACAGGTAAATATATATTCTCTGTCATATAGCATCTGAAATATTTTAAGACTGTTTTTTCATAAAACTGGATTTTCCAAAGAAAACCACTTGTTTTATTTTATTTTATTTTTTTAAATCCTGCCAGGAGAAAGTGCCTGCTGGGAGGCCACCCCAGAGAATTTGCCTGGTGTTCGTTGAAAATAGATATAATAGTAGAAAAATACATATTTTCTTTTTTTCTCTGTTTTTGGTCAGTCCTACCCACTGACCTGACAGAATGGATCCTTTCATTCATATGCCTTCATTTAATTGACATAACCTCCCTGGTGGCACAGTGGGTTAAGTTACAGCACTATGAAGTGATCCGTAGCCACTGCAGCACGGTTTGATCCCCAGCCAGGGAGCGCACCCACATGGTGCAGCAGCAGAACTCTCCTGTCTCATCCGCTGCTCCCCTCAGCAGTGTGTTTTGGTCAGTCGGCCTGTTCTGTTCCCCACTTTGTCTCTGGCGAATCCTCTCACCTCCTCCCCGTGCTCCTGGCCGGTACCCCAGCTCTTATATGCATAAACATTCCAGGCCAGTACAGAGAGAAATACCTTCAAGTTAAATGGGCACAACACAAAGGTGCAGCATGTCCAGCCTGTGATTGCCTGTTCGCTACCCCCTCCCCTGGGTCTTGGGGGACCCTATTTGGAAATAAGGATTAGGTTACTTTTTCTAATTAACTGTCACTGTAAGTATTGAGATTGTTACCAAAGAGAGTGAGCTCCAAAACATAATGATGTGACTTCTGATAGTACATTTTGTATTATGTTCTTTGGTATAAAGGTTGATGTTACCAATTTTGATTTTCTCAACAATCTTCTGAATTTTAGGACCAAGATAAATAATATTAATTGAGCAGAATAACTGGAAGCAAGTACAAGTGGACTTATTTACCATCTCCAACTGCTGAAGGGCAGTATATTTCCAGTGTTCTAATACCGAGAGTAGATATGGTATCAAGAAACCACATTTTAGTAATAAATTCATATAAAAATGTAAAGCAACATAAGTCTTAGATATTAGCACAATTTAAAAAATTAACAAACCATGCATAACTGAAGATGTTGTGTAACATTGTACAGAAAAGTGATCGTATGGGAGTCAAATATTCCTTTAGCTTTATTTTTCATAGAAGCTTTTTGTTTTATTATCTTAATATTTATTTTTAAGCTAGAGCTTACCTTAAAAATGATAAATTTACTTTTACAGTCATTATACAATCTTGTGGTTGGACTTGCCAGTGGGTGACTTTGTGTTCTTCATTGTTCTGGTGTGCTTGCTCTTGGGTGCAGGACATTCTGGGCTTTGAGAACACAGACCTGGAATTGAAGGATGTAGGCAGTGAAGATTCCGTTCCAGAAGAAGATGATTTAGGTGACGTTTTGTGGGACATACATGATGAACAAGAGCAAATGGAAACTTTTCAACAGGCTTCGAATTTAGCCCAGGAGTTGGGATTCGAGAAAGTAAGCATTCGGAATATTCTTCAACAGAGATAGTCAGTCAGTCGCCACCTAAAGGCTGTATTGTGACTGTTTTTACCTACATATAATCAGTGACTGACGTATGAGTGCCTATTCACACTCGCACGGTTTGATTATCTGTGTTGAGATTTGTGTTTGGGTTTGTATCATATATTTTGAGAGAAAAATACTTATGAACATCAAGCCTTTTTAGTTTTAGATTAGGATTTATAAAGCAAATGCTCATTATGTCACCTTCTTTAGTTCACCAGACCAAGATCAAATAGTTAGGAAACTTGATAAAAATAGTAAGGCTGTTTATTCTTTCAGTTCTTAGTAGAGTCGGATATTCAGAAAACCCAGCCCAGTAGTGAATGCACCAGGTAGCACAGTCTGTCAGCATCTTAAAATCTAAGCAAATTAACTGAATTTGAAGTGCGCAGAGAATGTATGTCCAAGTTCAAAAACTACTGAATAATATTAAATTGATGTGAGAACTAATATTTTAAAGAATATTATAGTAATTGTCACTGTCACTAACTTTTATGGAACTTTATCGAACGCTTATAATTTAAACAGTGTTTATGTGCTGGTCCTTTCCTGATTGTTTCTTAACTATGGGTTTTTGTTCACACTACTTGGCCCTAAACTTTGACTTTCCCGTCTGCAAAGTTTGAGTAGCTGTGGTCCCTGCATCCCAGGGTTGTTGGATGAATTAATCCAGATAACGCACATAAAGTGCTCGGATGAGTACCTGGCCTGTGATGAATGTTAACTTGTTTTATAAGAGAGGTGCTATCATCACTTTATAAAAGGAAGGCTCTAGGAACACACAGAGCACCTGAGTGTTGTACAACCCCGTGTGGGGTCTCCCGTCCAGTAAGTGTTGTCTCTCATCCATTCATTTTCAGCAGTTCTTAGGTGCAGAAGAAACTGGGGCCTATTCTTAATTGACCACTGTGGGCATATTTACTCAACCACAAAAATAAGTAGTTATGAAGGAGCTAGTGACAAGAAGTAGACTGCATTTTCCCACGCAGCTTTTCCCTAGTGACTTCACAGGGTAATCAGAAGTTGACTCTATAATCGAAGAGACATGTGCGTCCTCATAATAAACTCATTTTCATCCTAGTACTACCAGCGCCTTAATGACCTCGTGGCTGCACCTGCGCCTATCCCGCCCCTTCTTGTATCTGGAGGACCAGGTTCTGGAAAGTCCCTTCTTTTATCGAAGTGGTATGATATGCTGCAATTACATTTGTTACTATGGTCATGGTCATTTGGTTCAGTAAAATGTATCATTGCATGTGTGCTTTCCAGCATGGCCTGGACGCAACATCAAAAAGCCTTAGGGGTCAAACAGTAGACTCATACCTTGAAGTGTATGCAATTTGGATGTTAGGCAAACAAAGTGAGGAAGGGCTAGGAAATGTGAACATTTGTGATTGTGCACATACTTCACGTAAGTCAGATTAAAGGGGTGCAGAGAGGTCAGTGTGGGGTGGTATTAGGGGGCTCCAGGAAGAGATGTGCCTTCATTGACAATAACTGGCTTCATCTTAATAGTTGCCTTGGGACTTTCAGTATTTGAAACCAGACAAAGACAGACTATTTGGAATGAAATAAACTCCAGAGAATGGCAGAGTTAAAGATAATCTTTACTGTGAATGCAAGCTAGTTCTTTAAATCATGGATTAAGGTTCATATATACTAATAAACCTATTAATTTCATTTACTTCATCTTTATTATTTACACTTTTCTTTCACTTATAATTATCATTTACATGGAAGAGTTCACATAAATTAAATTATTTCTTTTTTTAAAGTTATGTTTGAAAATAGTATTTTTGTACTTAACAAGGAAACTTCTTTTTTCCTCTAATAGCATATTTTAATAAAAGGTTAAGGCTCATTTTATTATACCTCAGGTGGTTTGCATTAGTTCACATCAACTTGTAATTTAAGTGAATCAGTACTTTTATAAAGTTTTATTAAACGGATCTAAAAGTGGAATAAAAATGGAAATTTCCCATATTTATACAAAAGTGACTGACTAGGTGCTTGTTGACAGGCGGTATTTGATATTAAAATGCATGGACTTCTTCCTACTGGGAAAGGAGCTTCATCATCAGCCTTATTAAAGTTATTTTTCTTTCAGGATTCAGTTACAGCAGAAGAATTCCCCCAACACCCTAATTCTTTCTCATTTTGTGGGTCGGCCCCTGTCAACCAGCTCCGAGTCCTCCTTGATCATTAAGCGGTTAACTCTAAAGGTATAGCGCGCGTCTCTGGGAATCGCAGAAGTTTTACTTAGAGTCAGAAATGGTTGAGACTGAGCGCCTGAGGTAAACTAGCTTTCACTATTACCCACTTGTCTTGGTGGTATAAAGGGTAAACAACCCGCAGTGCGCTGGGCTCCTCTGGGTCACTCGGTTTGGGTTTAAGCGAACGTGGAGGAGCCCACATGTCCGGCGCTCTCGCCCGCAGCTGACGCAGCACTCTTGGGCCGTGTCGGCTCTGACGCTGGATCCGGCTAAGCTTCTAGAGGAGTTTCCGCGCTGGCTAGAAAAGCTCTCTGCGCGTCACCAAGGCAGTATCATCATCATTATTGATTCTATAGATCAAGTTCAGGTACTGTTTTCCTTTTGTGACCTCTTCATGCTCTCAGAAAAAGACAAAAATATCAGCCTTTAGACGTTGTGTTTGAGAAGAAAATGTTGACTTTTTAAATTTCTGCTTATTTTCGGGTGGGGGGGGCACATATAAGTGAAAAAATACACACTATACCAGGAGTCACTAGACTTTTATTGGGAACGATCAACTGAATTTATACCATCAGCAGTTGTCATTTTGACAGACTTCTAGGGCATTGACATTTCTTTAAATGCCTGGAACTCATCAACAGTAATAATATTTTCCCACTTGTTCTTTTAGTACTCCAATATAAATCATCCCCAAATTAGATTTCGTCCTTAGTAATAATGAGAATAAGAATTTTATATTACTTGGGGAGCTATTACAGGGTTGTTTTGAAATATCTGAATTAATAGATTGAATTTTGTTTTTATATTTTTAAGCAAGTTGAAAAACACATGAAGTGGCTGATAGACCCACTGCCGGTGAACGTGAGAGTGATTGTGTCTGTGAACGTGGAGACCTGCCCTCCAGCATGGAGGTACGCCGCCCTCTCATGGGCTTCGGGTTACGGGGCTGCTGTGAAGTGCCAGGAAAGGCTTTTAATGTGTGTTTTGTGCTGTTTATACAAGTGGCAGCAAGGGTGGGTAGGAGTGCAGGAATTCAAGAAAAAGATACAATCTGCAGGATTTGGTGGGAGGTCAGATGTAGGCTGGGAGGGAGGAGAGTACTAAGGTGACACCAGGTCTCTGACTTGAGAAATAAATCGTGGCTCCAGGAATTGAAATACAAAATGCAAAGGATGGGCAGGTTTGTGGAGAAAAGTGATGAGGTTTGTCTCAGACGTGGTTGGTCCGAGTTGCCAGTGTGGCTCTGAGGAGTGATATCTGGTAGTTACCTGAGCAGTGCCGAGCTAGGATGCGCGCTGGGCTGGGAGTCAGCCAGACTGCATGTAGCGTGCTTTAACATCTTCAAAAGGGGGCATCTAGGTTGAATTCTGGAGGACTCTGCTTTTTTTCCTTCTTGGTTCCCCTCTGGAGCCCTGTTTGTCTCCCACCCATCCAAGAAATGTTAATACCATGTGTAAACTGGGTAGCAGTTTCTGTATATGGACAGGCGTGTGTGTATTTGTGCTTTACACATAAAAAGTCAGATTTTTTGTGCCTCCCAAAACCAGGTTTTTTAAAAAAGTTTTATTTATTTATGCATACAAGAATGGGGGTACAGGCCAGAGGTGTGTGTGGGGGGGTGAGAGAATTCACCAGAGACAGAGTGGGGAGCAGACGGGCAGAGGTATTGAAATACACTGCTGAGGGGAGCAGGGGACAAGACAGGAGAGTTCTGCTGTGCCCTGTGGGTCACCTCCCTGGCGGGAGATCGAACTCGTGTTGAAGTGTTGTGGACAGCTTCAGCTTGCTGTGCTTCAACCCTTACGGCACCAGGAAGGGCCCAGCCAAAGCAGTTTTTGCCCCTCCCCATTGAGGATGCCTGTTGTAGGGTGATGAAATTCCAGTTGGATTATGAGTAACTTGTGGGCAAAGGCTGTCTCTTACTGTTGCTTATAGATACTAAGAGTTAAGTTAGTGCTATAGATAAGGTGGAACTTAGAGATATTTTGCTACTTTTTTGTTTAATGTATAGACTCTCTTGTAACAGTCTTCAGTCTTTCACTGAAAGTAATGACACATGTTAGAACAGGTGGAATATTGTTACTTAATATATCTAACAGATATATTGCTTATTTTATAAAGCTAATATGAAACATTCCTGTAATGGATTATGTTGTGGATATATTGCAGCTTTAGAAGAGAATTTCATTTCTTTTTTCTTTACATAAAAGGTTGTGGCCAACACTTCATCTTGATCCTTTAAATCCGAATGATGCAAAATCTATTATAATTGCAGAATGCCATTCTGTAAACATTAAATTGAATAAAGAACAGGTAAATATTTTAATTTTGTTTTTATTCTCTATTAGTCTTTCTATAAAATACCTTATATAAAACTTAAAATTCGAAATAGGACCTTTTTATTATCGTAAGGAAAATTGGAGTTTAATAATTATTTTTTAATATGATTTGCTCTTAAACTACTAAGAGATACAGAGGCAGCTATAAAAAAAAAGATGTTGGTCGTAAGGTCTACTTTATTGTATCATATTAAGCAGGAATTTTAAAAGCAAAAAAGCATCTACCTGCCTGCTGCCCATGTCCACAGTGTCCCCGCCTGCACCCCCTGAGAACACCCGGGCACGGTGCTGCAGAGATGGCCTGCAGTAGAGACCTCTTGATTCCAGGGTGGTTTGTGTTTCTGTCTGTTTTGGTAAACCAATGCAGGAGAAGAAGCTGGAACGGCACTGTCGTTCCGCTGCCACCTGCAATGCCCTTTATGTCACGCTTCTCGGCAAGATGATCGCGCGGTAAGTGGTGCTGCTTTTATGTCATCTTCTGCATGTTTTGCATTGGCTGCAGATGCTTCTCACCAAGGGAAGCCAAGAACTGATCATGCCACAGCTCTGGGGCCACCAGATTCCTTTGTTCTAACAGTGAGACTAACATCCTGTGACATATGACAGGGCTGAGAATGACAGCTCTTGAATGATCACAACTTGTTAGATATATTTGTTTAGTTTCCACCACACTAACCTTTTCCCTAGAGGGAGCTGCAAAAGGTCTCTTCACTCTCATTTGGGCTCATTTGTGGAGCTCACTGTCACCTGCTTGAGGCCTCCTGAGACTGAGTGTAAGTGTTCTTTCAGGGGCTGTGTATATCTATAGGGAGGAATGATGTGTAATTGTGTTTCTTCCCAAATCCTGATAAACCTCTCATTGGAAAGGAATTTTTCTGTGTCCATTAGAGATTTGCCTTTAGAAAGTTTAACAACTTTCATTTCTTCTGTACACCTTTACTCCTCTCTTTTCACAACCAGGGATGGAGAAGGTGAATACTTTTCTGGGGTATTCATCAAAATTGATAGTGACCCTAGCACAGCTCTTGCTCTAGGCACTGACTCTGTCGTTCTTGGCCCTGCCTTCCCCATTTCCATCTTAGGCACCAAACTTGAAATGAAAAAAATCTCTTCAAGTTTTGTGTTGTTTCTGTGTGGTTCTGCTTCCCTTCCCACTGTCTCCAGAGTTTGGCCAAGTACTTGTCCGATGGGATTATCAGTAGCTCCATCAGTACAATCCGGAAGTGATTGTGACTTTCCATACATCTCATGATATTTATTGACATGATTATGCCATTTTTGGTCCTTCTCTCTTCTATGTATCTCTCTATCTTAGAAGAAAATGTGGATAAATACTGTGCCAGGGCTCTGGGGAACGTCCCCCCTCCTCTGGGCTCTTTTCAGGCTGGACAAGCACACATGAACATCAGCTAGAGCAGTAAAAGAAAAGACCAACTTTTAATGACACACCTATGTGGCCATGGACCCTAAAGTTATGAGACAAAGCAGGCATTTGTGTCCTGGGCTAAGGAATGGGCTAGCGCCTGGGGTGTTAAGAGGGGAACTGCCTCCCGTGACGAGGAGGGGTGACTTCATGTGGCAAGCCCTTCCTCTAGATGTTTGCCCTGCCTCAAGATAGGTTTCTCTCATAAAAGGCTATTTTTGGAGCTCTCCTAAATCCAGGTAACCTGCATTCTTAAGGCTTACCGTAGCAGTTCCTCCAGGGCCCACAGGGCTGCCCCTCACCATGACTCCCCACGCCAAGGTGAGGTGCAGTGAAAACCCTGCCGTCGGCATGGAGAAAACCTGTCTGATTTGGGGGGAGGTCAACCCTAGAATTGCAAGTTATTTTTAAACACCCACAACATTGATTGATTTACCTCATCCTGATGTTTTCCAAATTGGCTCTAAACTAATTTGTATGGCTAATAACACTTATCACTCTCTTCCTGCTGCTTGCATGCAGATGGCAAGCTTCTGGGTCATGAGAACCCTGTCTTACTCACCTCTGTGTTCCACAATATGTAGTAGTCACTGGCATTTAATAAATCCCAGCTATGTGTGTTGAATTGAATGAAATGTTTGCCACAATGAACAATACCTCCAGCAGCCGCACACAGCTGCCACTGTCCTGTATCCTGTATTGCTGAGTCCCTGTTACCAGTTGCAGCACAAAGCTTATACTTTCATCCCAAGTTTCCCACACATGTTGGCAGTCTGTAACAAACCCTCTCAATTCCAGCAGTGCCGGGAGAGCAGGGAACGTGGACAAGATCCTTCAGCAGTGTTGCCAGAGTCAGGACACTGTGTCGCTATACAGACTCATCCTGCGATCTGTCCAGGACTCACTGGCCAGCGATCGGGAGAAGGAGCTGATGAAGCAGGTGAGCATGCCCATAGGATGAGGTTGTCCTGTCTTGTTTGTGTTCGAGCATACGTTGAGATAATAGCAAAGGTTTGTTACCTGTGCTTAATTGCACTTCAAGGATCCACAGGAGGGAGCTCCGGGAAAGTGGGCTTTTCTTGGTTTTCGAGATTTTTCCACTTTGTCATGATTGTTATCTGCTCCTGTTGCCTTTTTCATGAACTGCTGGTTTAAGCAATTTGCCCACTTTTAGTTAGTTGTTTCTTCTTGGTCTGTGGGAACTCAGATGTTCTGCATGCTGAATATAAATTCTTTGTTACAGTTTGCAGATAAATGTCTTCCTGTTTGTTTCTTAGCTGATGGTGTTATTTGTGTGCAAAGCCTGATTTTGATGATGTCAGAGTTATCAAGTTTCTTTCATGCTTATGCCTTTTGCATCTTACCTAAAAAATCCTGTTATATATTTTTCCTTTAAAAAGTTTTAGTTTTGTTCTTTTTATGTAAGTGTGAGAAAGAAATCTGTGTTTTAACCATTTTTCACACTTAGTACTTTTCTCTAAAGATACTTCTTGCCTACTGACGTGGAATGCGCCTCTCCACTGTCCCGCTCACGTGTGAACCTGAGTCTGTTTCTGGGCTCTTCTGTTCCAGTTTGGCCAGTTCTGACCAGTCCTACAGTGTTCATTACTAGATTTTCATTGTTAGACCCTTCATCAGTAGGTCTTCGGAACAGCTTAGAAGTTTGGGCAAGCCTCCCTCTCACTCTTCACGGCTGCTTTTGGCTAATCTGCCACGTGTCCCCTTAGAATTGGCTCAGCAAATGCCACAGGAATTCGTTTTGGAATTTCAGCCAGAGTCACATGAGTTTAGACATTAAGTCAGGGGGAAACTATTGAATACTCCTTCTCCTTGTGGAGAACAACATGCTCCCCATGTAATCAGTCATCTCTTTTTATGCTTTTCTGTAATGTTTTCTCTTCCTCCCTAAAAGTCTGTTTATAGATTTCTTTGAAGACCTCTGAAGTTAGAAGTAAAACTTGAAAGTTGTTTATGACTGCGTATTCAATTTTGATTCTTGAAACGATTCTTCATCAAGCAGCTCTTCCTGACCTCTTAGAGTCTCACCCTTGGCTCATTTTTATTAATCTACCATTTGGGGGCTTCTGGGATTTTGACTTTTCATCCTTCCAAACCCACAAGCCCATGTCTGTGGGTGGTGTTTTCCTCATGCTCCCCTTCGCTGAAGGCACAGTCTCTAGGGACCGGTGTTGGCAAGCATTCGGATTCACCTCCTGGGCCTTGGGCTCAGGGGCCCACATTTCACCCCCACTGCTCCCTGAAGACCCAGCCCTTAACTTCCTGGGACTGCTACCTGTCCTGTGCGCCCCTGACCTGGGTCATCGTTCTAGAACCTAGCCCTGTGATTTTCAGTTTCCTGATCATTTTGGCACCTGGAGATTTCTAACTCTTTTTGATAGGCTCAGCTGCACTTTTTGAAATGCTATATTCTGTGTTGTGTGATCACTAAGCAATTGTATATAATGGGAATGCAGTTGTCTTCTGCCACCTTGCCAGAACTGGAACCCTGTCATTAGTTTTAATCATATATGTCCTACAGTTGTATTTTCACTAAATGTTTTTCTGTATGTGTGTGATCTTTGGTATGCCAGAGTTCATATATACACATACATACACATACATTTTTTGATTAATGCCTTTTGGAAAGTGTGTTTTAATTTAAGAAATCTGTTGTTTTATTAAAGCATTTGAATGATAAGTATAAATAAGTTTATTAGTAAACTTAAAAAGAATTATGGAAATCTAATACTGTTAGTTACTTCGAGGGGTGCTTCCTGATCACTCTGAGTCACTTAAGTTGTCTTTCTCCCTAGATTCTCTGCCTTGTGAATGTTAGTCACAACGGCGTGAGTGAGTCAGAGTTGATGGAACTCTATCCTGACCTGTCCTGGGCTGTCTTGACCTCTCTTATTCACAGTTTACATAAGATGGGTTTGCTGACTTACGGCTGTGGCTTGCTCAAGTTTCAACATCTGCAGGTAAATGTTATCTTAAGTATCTTGTAACAGTTCTTTATACCTTTACATGTCTGTGCATCACTGCATATCGTATTGTGCTCTCCTATGCCATATTATTTTGAATGTTTCAGTGACAAGACAATGTTGAGATCTGAACTTTGGCATTATGCATTTTACAGCGATTTTGGCCATAAGTAAAGTTTGGCTAAGAATATCCTTATGTCATTCTTTTCTGAACTGACTACGATAAAAGGTAGTTTCTTTCTAGAAAAGTAAGAAAAAATTATTTTCCAGTTTTATCTTTTTTTATGAATTGCTGGTAGAAGTTATATATATAGTACTAGCTTAGACTGCAGGCCACAGCCTCTGTTGATAGCACAGTTCTTCCCAGCTTGCTGGCTTGGTAATCGGGACGCATTCTCTCTCAGCCTTGGACAGACGGTTTCCCAGCTTGCCACAGGGTTGTAAAGAGAATAGAGATGGTCCTCGGTCCTTGTGAGGTACTGGACGTGATGTCTGACACACAGTAAATATTTAGGGGTTTTCCTACCAGCTAGAGTGACATGCTTATATACATACACATGCACACATATAAATATAAATATTAATATTTATACACATATAAATATATAAACACATACAAATGTGTGTATATGTGTTAGTAATTTTGCATATGTAAATATGTATGTGTATATGTATGTTTATGCATACAACTGCAAATTTATTTTTTCATTTGTGAGTGTGAAATGTTAGTAATTTTACAGATTTGTCTTTTTCCTTTATTGTATTTTGCTTAGATATAATTTACTCCCTTTAATACTTTTTCAAACCACAGTTAGGATATTAGCATGGGAATTTTTATTCTCCTATCCCATAAATATATCCTGAATTTTAAAATACTCTGATGCTACATTTTTATAGAACCATGAAATTGAAATAATGGTGAATTCTTTTTTAAAGATTCTCTGTTAGATGGACATTGACTTACAAAAAAAAGATTGTAACATTTTTTCTTTTTCTCTTAGGCTTGGGAAGCAGTGAGGCTGGAGTACATGGAAGGGCCCCCCATTATTTCCTCATATAGGCAGAAGCTAATCAGCTACTTCACCACGCAGCTCAGGTGGTCACTACCAATGCCCGTGTTGTGCTGTGACTTCTACAACGCACCTCTCTGTGTCCTCGTTTCTGTCTTAGACTTGCAACTAAACTTTTCATTGCTTACACCTTCATGTATAAAAATTCAGTTGTTACCAAAAGCATTAAATATTTTACCTATTTTGTTAATGGCAAAAGAACAAAAAGATGATTATGTCAATCTTTTTTTTTTCCTTTTGCAGAAGTTAGTGAAATTTCACTAGTAAGTCTTTTAATAATATTATGCTAAAGATTGAAGCTTAGCTAAAAACCAATGCAGGCTCATCTTACTGTTTTTATTTTATTCCATCTAAGTAGTTTTAAAATGTGTATGTATTTGTGTGTATTCATGTATATATATATTTGGGTCCACTGATTTTTTTTCAATAGTTCAATTTTAGGAACTATCTTTAGCATTTGCTTGATGGTCCTGCTTATCAATTTGTTTATTTTCATAGGCTGGGAAAGCTTCTGGTTTGGACCTAATTTTCTCAGTGTTAAATCCATACATAAAGTCCACACCTACATCCATGTTCAATGTGTTTTTCTTTATTCTGCCTTTATCTGAAGCCTGTTTCAGCGACCTCGCTGCAGGCGCGTCTGTTTCTGTTGAACGTTGTCCTTGCTTCTCTTGCACAGTCAGGACCGAGTGACCTGGAGGGGCGCAGATGAGCTCCCCTGGCTGTTCCAGCAGCAGGGAAGTAGACAGAAGCTGCACAGCTGCCTTCTCAACCTCTTTGTGTCTCAAAACCTTTATAAAAGGTAAGACACTTACTTGTAGAAGCAGGCTTAAATGGTTGCTCAGCATCACAGAGAAAAATGGCATTTTAATTGAAAAAGTAGTCCTATTTCTGTGGTACCTGAAAGATAAAACACTAGGAGAAATGTTAACACCATTTGCTAGTTGCCACCAGATTCTACGTTTTCCACGAAGAAAGAAGAGAAGATTGCTGTTTTCCTACAGTCAGAGCTGGAATGGTCTTGAGATAGCTTTATATCTTTAACACCCATTTAAATGGGTTTAAATGCGCCCCTGCTCCCCAAGAGGTGGCCTCTCAGGCCTTCAGACTTCTCCAAGAGCCTTCACACTCTGGCCACGCTGCGTTTACCAGAGGGCCAGGCCTTCTCATAGTGGTGCTGTCTCTCTCTCCCACTGTGGTCGATGGCTGCCAGTGGCTGGCACCTTCTAACCACCCAGGCCCATGAGGGGTTTCCTATCTCACTTCAAAATGCAGATGTTTCTCAGAATGTAGTGCAGGATTCATTTTGCCCCCGAGTGAGTTCACCCCAATTTTTCATGATTTGAAATTAGATTCATTCTTGAGTCCATCAGCTCCATCACCCTCCGAACAGCCTCTGCAGAAGCATAGGCTGACATGTGTCATTGAATTCCTTGATGAAAAGGCAATGTAAATACTGTGACAGTTTGCCTGTAGAGTTTTCTGTCCTAATTTCCATCATCTCTAACTTTGGGAATGGGCCCAGATGACAAGCTGAAGCCACAGTCTTGCCTACTAATAAATTATCAGTAGCTTGAGGTGAATTCTGGCGTCTTCACTTAATACTCAGTTTTCAAGCTTGTTTTTCATCTCCTTGCTGTTCTGTGACAGGGGACACTTTGCTGAGTTGCTGGGTTACTGGCAGTTTGTTGGCAAAGACAAGGGTGCCATGGCCGCCGAGTACTTCGATTCCCTGAAGCAGTATGAGAAGGACTGTGAGGGTGAGGAGAACATGCTCTGCTTAGCCGACCTCTACGAAACCCTGGGGCGGTTTCTCAAGGATCTTGGCCTGCTCAGCCAGGTAACCGGCAGGGAGACCGCGTGCGGGTTCCTGGCTACTCTTCATGTAGAGGGTCATGTAGATCCCACCAGTGTGTCCACCTGATGACAAATCATAGAGCCTTTCAACTTTTTTTTCCAGGCTGTGGTCCCTTTGCAGAGGTCTCTGGAAATTCGAGAAACGGCCTTAGACCCAGATCACCCACGGGTGGCTCAGTCCCTCCACCAGCTCGCAAGTGTGTATGTGCAGTGGAAGAAGTTCAGCAACGCAGAGCAACTGTATAAACAGGCCCTGGAAATCTCAGAAAACGCTTACGGTGCAGACCATCCACACATTGCTCGTGAACTTGAGGCCCTTGCAACTTTGTACCAGAAACAAAATAAGTAAGATTTAGATCACTACTGCTCTGGTTTTATCACAAGGAGTTAGAGATTTCAGTGGGCTTGGCTTTGTGACTCCTTTTCCTAATATTCTTCTGAATGCATGACATTCAAACATGAATTCTTGGTCCTTAAACCAGATTGTTGTGGTTTGTAGATTGTGAGGACAGAGCAGGAACACGGGGCTCGTGGTCGGAGTGGCATGGAGCCCCTTCCCTGACTAGCTTTGCCCCTGCTAAGAGGGGAGACAGGCCAGCGCCGATGCCCTCTTTTTTGTAAAGAAGGTCTCTAGAAACAGAGCTATAGGCTTTCACTGCTTGCCTGTGTCCACAGCAGAGTTCTGTAGTTGGTCCTCACAGCCCCAAGCCTAAAATATTTACTATCCAGCTCTTTGCAGCAAGTTTGCCAGTCTTTGGAATAATCAATCTCTCATATCAGCTGTATACTTACTGAGTGTTGTATCTTCCTCCATCCGAAGTCCTTTCTTTTGCTCCATACGTAATACATGTTGGACTTTTTTCTTTTAACTTTTAGAAGTATTTTTTTTCACACTGATTTTGTGACGATTTCACCAAAAATTAGCCTGTGTGGAAGAGGATAGAGCAAACTAAAATGAAGCTTTTCTTTTAGTTAGGCTGTCCTCATTGGTCCAGCACTGGTCACGTAGGTTAAACGTCCCTCCAAAGACACCTTTTTTGGTTCTGTTTTATTTCAGAAGGTTTTTGTTAAAGTCTTAATTCCCTATGATATCACTTCTAGAAATGATGCTGTGTTTAATAGTAGAAACAAAAGGCTTTAGACTAGACGAGGGGATCTCTGCTTTCATTTCCTGAAGTGTGACACTTTGCATAGATGTCTTTTTGTTTACCTTACTTTCTTTTTTTTTTTAAAGATATGAGCAAGCCGAACATTTTAGGAAAAAATCCTTTAAAATTCGCCAGAAAGAAACAAAGAGAAAAGGCAACTTGGTAATAAGAGATTTCTTTTGGGTTGTGTTTTGAACCAAAAAGGAAAAAAGTATGTAGATGCATCAAAATACTAACATCTTTTGTATTTATATTGCATGTTTAAATGTTAGTATTACTGAGTACAGCTTAGTGGAACTGAATGTGTGGTGACTGTTATTCGATGGATGTGCATCAGACTGTCATGTCGTACATCTTAAATACAAGCAATATTATGTCAATTATATTGCAATAAACTGGGGCAAATTTAAAAAAAACCTTTCAAGTGAAATGTTCATTTGAAGGTTAGGGTTCAGATAAAGTTTAAAGTTGCTTTAGCCGTTTCATTGAAGGGCTGTTCAAGAAAATACCCAAAATTTAGTGAACATTTTGTATTCGATTCAAATGTAAAGGAATTCGTACCCTTGAGTACAAAAAAATTATTTTCATTTTTCTGAACTCCTGATAAATCTATATATAGTATATATAGTTTTAACTTAAAATGTTCGCAGCAACATTTTTTTAAAGATTTATTTATTTATGCATATAAGAATTGGTGTACAGGCCAGAGGTGCGGGGTGAGGGGATCCACCAGAGGCAGAGGGGGCACCCCTAGGGAGGGCCCGCAGCAACTTTCTGCCGCGTATTTGACATACAGCCTTCCATAAATTAAGGTAGATGACATGTCGGTCTGATGTATTTCTCTGTCGCACGGCGACTGCTATAGTAGCTATGATTAGCACCTTCGCTTATCGCACTGTCCTTTCTTTTTTGTGATGGGAACAAGTGAGGTCCAGTCTCTTAGCAAGCTTGATGATTAGAACACAGCGTTGTTGTATTCGTTGTCCTCTGCCTTCAGCTTCAGAATGTATCTACCTACTGATTGCAGGTGTTCTGTCCATGTGTAAGTACCTGATGCCGCAGCGTTTCTCAAAGCGGTCACTAATATCTGCCCGATAATTCAGTTTATTGATCTTTTTGAAGAACTTAGGGATTCAGTTTTCTTTGCTAAAATCCCTCATCATCATTTTCACAGAATAGTTTCTGATAAATTTTCAAAGGTGATGGCATGTGGAGATGTATGGATTTTCAATAACCATTAGAATAATTCAGTGTGATACTTAAAAATATTGTAACCTGCCTGAAAGGGGATGGGAGGACACAGGATTTTTTAGAACCCCAGCACACTGTTCAGATGCAGAGGCTGCACTCAGTAGTGACTGTTGCTAATTTTCTGTTTCCTCCAGTATGGATTTGCCCTGTTACGTAGGCGGGCCCTGCAGTTAGAAGAACTCACCTTAGGTAAGGATACCGCTGACAACGCTCGGACCCTCAACGAGCTGGGAGTTCTCTACTACCTGCAGAACAACCTGGAGTGAGTACCGAGGGCTAGGTGGTGACAGCCAGGTGCACGTGGCTGTCTAGGTGCAAGCCGCCCTCCATTTCTGAAAAGTCGGGCTGGAACGACGGATGGAGGCATGCTCACAGCCAAAAGCTGCGCTGCAGCTGCTTCTCTCGTAGCTCGGAAGTTCTGCAGGTGCCCTCACACGTTTTATATACTGTGAATTTATGAAACTTATGATACTACGTACAAGGCCTCTCAAAAGAAATTTGGTCACTAGGAGAAAACAAAGAAAAGAATCAATGTATATGGCTGCTTGTTCTGCTCTTCTTAAAGCTAAAAGGCCAAGATGGCATAATATTCATACTTGCTGAAAAATGAGTGGTTGTACATTTCATTGACTGTCAGAAAAATAAGCTAATTTCACACACTGGATATCAGAAAAGATGCAAACATATTTAGTTCATTCACAGATTTTTTTAATTGAAAATTATTTAGTAATAACCCCAAAGGGAGAGCAAGTTAACCAAGCTCTTTTGTTTGAGCTAGGTCTGATAATTCTTTTTTTTTTTTTAAGATTTATTTATTTATGCATACAAGAGCTGGGGTGTAGGCCAGAGGTGCTGGGGGCGGGGTGGGGGAAGCGGGGATGGAGTGGGGAGAGTAAGAGCATTCACCAGACACAGAGTGGGGAGTAGAACAGGCAGATTGGCAGAAATACACTGCTGAGGGGAGCAGCGGGGAGACAGGAGAGGTCTGCTGTGTCATGTGGGTCACTTCCCTGGCCAGGGATCAAACTCAGGCTGCAGTGGCTGCAGATAGCTTCACAGTGCTGAGATTTAACCCCTTGTGCTGCAAGGGAGGACCAGATCTGATAATTTTAAAAGAATGAATGGTTTGTTTTGGAGAATATTTAGGGGTTTGTCTTCAGAAATAAATGAAGAGGTGAGGCCATGATCTAGGTATTTTGGTACTCAAAAGCCTCATTTTGGTATTTTTCAGACCTCATTTTTCATTTCTAGAAATGTATGAGAAGTGATGAGGGATCAGAAAGAGAGTGAGTTTTGAGCTGAATCCTTCATCTCGCTAAGAATAAAAATGCTTCAGTTCTTTTCATAACTAGGGCTAGAGAAACTGACCTCTAGGAAACAAAGTACCTCAACTATTCTGGGGTTTTCCCCCTAGAACAGCGGACCAGTTTCTGAAGCGTTCCTTAGAAATGAGGGAGCGAGTCCTGGGCCCAGATCACCCTGATTGTGCCCAGTCTTTGAATAATCTGGCTGCTCTCTGCAATGAAAAGAAACAGTATGGGAAAGCAGAAGAACTTTATGAAAGAGCTTTAGACATTCGGAGACGAGCTTTAGCTCCTGACCACCCTTCTTTGGCTTATACTGTGAAGCATCTCGCAATCCTGTATAAGAAAATGGTAAGTTTCCTAGGCGTGCTTGCATGTGTCTTGTAACAGACCAATTAAACTATTTATGATTGGCAAAATAATTGACCTTCTGAATGATAGACTATTTTCTATGAGCTGTGAAATCAGTGATTTAATTTTTAACAAATAGCTGAATAGAACATTTAAAAATACTGTTTCATACTTACATAAATTGAAGCACTGTTTTAGTTTTGTTAAAATGCATTCTAAATACAAATGCATTCATCAGGATTCTAATTGAAATTCAACCAGTATTAACTTTGCTATGTTAAGCAGACATAAATATAACAGATCACCTGTTTGTCAGGGATGAAGGAAGAGTATTTGTATGGACGAAGTAAAGATTTTTATTTTATTCTTTCTTTTCTGTGCCTACACTTAAATGTAACCATTCTTCACCATAGGGTTCTAATTTGAGTGATATTGGGATTTTTTTTACAAAGAAAAATGCTTATTATCTCTTTTCCCAGAAATAACCAATATTACCATTTTTCATGAGTCCTTTTTTTTTTTCAACTGAAACAACATTGGTTTACAGCCAGGTCGGGGAACATGTCCTTCAGATATGTCCTCACTCCACACCCGCCACAGCCCCGATAGTCTCCTGCACAGGCCACTGTGTGCCCCCTCCTTCTCGGGGAGTATCAGTCTACAGCCATATTTCTAGGGTTTGTGATTGGTTTTGTCTTACCCTTTGTTTTGTTCTTTATATTTCATATATTAGTGACACACCATCTGCTGTTTTTCTTCCTTCTGGTTTACTTCACTTAGCATCATGTTCTGTCTTGTTTTTATAGCTGAGTAGTATCCCATTGTGTACGTAGATGATACTTTTCTAATCCTCCTTTGTCGTGGGGCACTAAGGCTGTTTCCATACTTGGCTGTTGTGAGATATTCTGCGATGAAGATGGGAGGGGCATAGCTACCCCTTCAGATTGTGTTTTTACGATTTTGGTTAATATCTGGGAGGGGGGTTGCTGGAACATAGAGGAGAGCTATTTTTAATATTCTGGGAAATCTCCATACTGTTTCCCATGAACAGTCCACACTCCTGCCTGTCAAGTGTACGAGGGTTCCTTTCTCCATGTCTTCACTAACACGCTTCTGCTCTTTTGCATGGGTCATTCTCTGAAGTGTTTGATGGCGTCTCACTGTGGTCTGGATTTGAATTTCCTTGATGATAAATGATAGTCAGCATTTTTTTGTATCCCTGCTGGCCATCTGGATGTCTTCTTTGGAGAAGTGCCTCTTTTAACCCTTCTGCCCAATTTTTTTTTTTATGTTTGCAAGTTTTGTAGCTGATTTCCAAAAAAATCATAATAATAGTAACAATAATAATGCCAGCAAAGTCTCCTTTCACTTCATTTGGGGCAGTTTCAGAGCCATGGAAATGGATTTGGTCTTTGTGAGATGCTGGCTGGTCATACTGACACTGAAGTTGTTGTTTTAGTGAGAAGGACCCATTTTTGCTGTCCAACTTTCAAATAAGAGGAACAATTAGAAAATTCTGGGAAGGATTTGATAAGCAATGAGTTCTAATTTTGATAACACCTCTAAATGATGTATAGTAGTTAACATACTTTAACTGGCATGGTTTTAGTTCACCAGAAACTGAGTAATGATGGGTAGTCCCAAAAGGCCTTCTGAGTTACCAGAGAAAATTTTTTATGTCCAGTATAGCCTACTTAAATACTCTCTCACATATCAGTTATCTATGAACCGAACTGCTTAACTGGGAGAAAAGCACCTGAAATCTTCTTCCTCAAAATATTTTTATACAATTTTGATTTATGGAAAAAGCTCTGATCAGATAGTATTTATTGCTTTAATATTTTTGTTAGATTTCACTTTTGTTTTTTAGGGGAAACTTGACCAAGCTGTACCTTTGTATGAGCTGGCGGTTGAAATTCGGCAGAAATCCTTTGGCCCGAAGCACCCTAGTGTAGCTACTGCGTTGGTGAACCTGGCGGTCCTCTATAGCCAGATGGTAAGTTCCCACACCTTAACTTTTCATGGTTGAATGACATTAAGAAATACAAAATATAGGTAAATATATGGATTAGATGTGGTACAGTGTTTATAATAATTAGAGGAATTTTAAGTGATCTACTCTGCTTGCCTGAGTACTTAGAAATTATTGAAGCTAAATTTTTAAGTGACAGTCCCTTCCTTTTTCTTGTAAAACATGAAGTCTTTACTTCATGGCTTACTCTTGTCGATTCTGAGGGCTCCATTTCTGTCTCTCAAATTGTCTTTAAGCTGTGGCATTTGCCCGTGATAGGGAGAAACAGATATGTGCCCACTGAGCCATAAACAGGTTTTATGTTTATATTACTTGTGAAGCCAGTGGTTACTAAGTCAGACTGAAACAGTTTTTTTGTGACTTCCTGCTATACTTCTTTTCCCACTATGATTAATCAGAAATTAACCTGTCTATCCACATGTTGTAGAAGGATAGAAACATTCTAAAAGGGCTTGTCCACGTAGATCAGCTTAGTCTAGAATACATTAATAATCATTTCAAAAATCTGGTGTGTTCAAGTGAGCTTTATTACCTTTTTTTTTTGTTGTTAAAGAAAAAACACACTGAAGCCTTGCCATTATATGAAAGAGCACTAAAGATTTATGAAGACAGCCTGGGCCGGATGCATCCTCGAGTTGGAGAAACATTAAAAAATTTAGCTGTGCTAAGGTAAGAACTTTTTCTCATCTAGCCCACTCCCTTCTAGAACAGCTTTCATTTGACTCATAGAACAACACAAAATGTCTACTGCGGCATGTTTTTCCTTGGAGGGGTTTTTGGTTGACCTACTTCTCGAGCTCCTAACTTCTTGTCCAGAAGCAAAGTGGAGTCCGCAGTGTACCCTGAAGCATGATTTGTACTGGAAGCTCGCAGAGCCTGCAGTGACCTGGGCAGTGCTCAGAGCTGATTCACCAGAAAGTGCATGTTGACATTTGCTTTGTTTACCTCAGGACAGAGTAACTTCCCTTAGCGATGTCACTGTGTCCACTTTAACCCTGTCTTGGTGGTGTCCCTATGAGACGTGAAAGGGTCCAGAGCAATCTGGATAGGAGGAAGAGCTTGATATTGCTTTGCTGGTCTGCCTGAGCGACTACACTGGAAAAAATCTGGCGGGAAGTGAACAATCATTCACAGCTTGTTTTTCTGATTTCTGTAGGGCATGTAGAAATGTTAAGAGGTTAGATTCTCATTTTAAGAATTTTTTTTCTCTCAAAGTTATGAAGAAGGGGATTTTGAAAAAGCTGCTGAACTATACAAAAGGGCGATGGAAATAAAAGAAGCAGAAGCCTCCCTTTTGGGTGGAAAAGCTCCTTCTCGACACTCAAGTGGAGACACCTTTAGCTTAAAAACCCATTCTCCTAATGTTTTCTTTCACCAAGGACAAAGGTAACAGCAGCTATTACGATTTATTGCAAATGCAACTTAGGATAAACTCTTTAGGAAACATTTGGAACATTAGAATTTAAACCTTATTAAAAATGTTTTTAAGAAAATTTATTTTATGTTGTGTGATCTTTAACTGATTTTCGCTTTGTGTGCTATTTGTATGAAATTGTATTGGACTATACTGAAAATTGAATCATTGTGTTGGTTTCATTTAAAAGAACTCTCCTACTGTGTGGGACCCAAGGAGGCAGCCACGTAGGGTGCTAGGGTGACGAGAGCGGATCATTAACCGCGGCTCGGTCTGTGCACAAGGGCTGGCAGAGCAGTCAAGAGTTAAGAATCCCATTATTCTTTTCCTCTCTCAAGAGCTGCTTTAGCCTCATCATTCCTTATCTTGCTTTGCAGCAGTAGCCTGGCCCAATTCTCTACCTCAAAGAAAAGTCTCAAGGAATAAAGGGTTCGCGTTTATGCAAGGCTTGCCTGTCTCCTGTAAGTGAGCTCGTAAAAGGTATCTGACTTGCCCTCAGCTTGCTGCGCTGTCTGCACTGTGTTGCCTTACGGTGTAGTGCGTCCGCTGTCCTCACTTTGTGACAGATCAAGGCTTTGGTGTTCGTTAACCTTCCTCCAGATACACGCTTGATGTTCTCCTTAGTTTCTCTAGGTGGCCTAGACCTGTCTTTCATTTATCTCAAACTCAGATTAGTTGCCATTTTATATTGCAAGTTCAGTATTTTTTATAAATAATGCCACATTTTGGATACTGTTTTATAAATAATGCCACATTTATGTATTTATATGTAAAACCTTCCATTTAAATACTTGTAAGAGTCCAACATTTATTAACTGTAAGGTAAAAGATGTACTAACCACACTTTGCTGTTTTAAAGTAGTTAAATTTCAAGTTCTTTTCCCTCTCTAGTTTATCTAAGAGGGTTACATTAATTTATTGAACACTGCAGAAAGGCCTGATGCTGTGAATCCTCGCTGAGCATCTTATTTAGCCTCAGTCAGTGTCTCTAAGGCCTGCTCACATGTGGCCCCAGGAACCTAGACACTAGCTGAGAGCGTTAATTAAAAATTCAGACTCTGAGGCTCTCCCCAGACCTTCATAGCCAGAATCTGCAGTTTAGCTGCATCCCTGCGTGATTCATACAGACGTTTGCGAGCAAAGATCTAGGCCACTGTTGTGGCGACTTATGTTAACATTCTCAGGCAAACATCCTGACTTATGCTCACATACTCAACATTTGGGGCTCTCTGAAATCAGTTTTTAAAGCTTTATTTCAAAAGTGTAGGAGAAATATACTTTTTTTTCTAACACTTCCTCCCCAGACATATAACTTAAGACATGCAGACCTTCAAAACAAAAAGTCACCGGAGTAGCATGTTAGCATAGTAACAGCCAATGAATAACGTTCTGTACTGGCATCTATGCCACTGGGAATTGATATCCACCAAGGTTTTCTGTTATCACTGGTATGCAGCTCCAGAGAAAAACAGTTTGTCAGCTTAGATTTAGTTAGAATGTCAGCTTCGACGTTCTCAGGGGAAACGATACTTTTTGGGCGAATCAATTCGCATCAGTCACCGCAGAGGCAGTTTGGACCTTACGCCCACCATACAGGGCAAACCCCTGCCAATACCTGGCTCCCTCAGCAACCACATTTGAAGGAGGTCTTTGGAAGGAGGTCTGTGATGAGCGTGACCTAAGATGAAAATCGGCTGCATTTATACTTTATTCCTCTAGAAAGTTGTCTGACTCCAGATACAGGTTCTACAGATACACTGACTTTTCTTTGATTTCTGCAAATAGATAATTTGTACTTCCTGAAAGTACCTTCATCTGTCTACCCATGGAGAAAAGCCGCCTTTTATTCACCTCTGCCTTGTTTTGAACATATGAACAGTAAACCTTGATTGATGTAGCCTTGTTTTTGTTAGTTTTAGAATGCTACTTTTTAATTACAAGGGGAAAATTCCCCAAGGGAATATGTTTAAAAACAAGAAATAAAATATAGGCCAGTTCTGTTTCTACATGTTCTTCATCTTGGCCATGAGATCTTCTAAGCTTTCACCAGAATCTTCCACTGACACCTCATGTACAGAATCTTCTTGCTGTCAACAAATGAAGAAAGAAACAATACTTGAAATTCTTGATGCTTAGGAATCTATATAATCATTCTAACCATGTTCAATAAATTTACAAAGTAAATTTTCTGTAATGATTATGTCTTCTAACTTTTAGAAAAGAAAAAGTCTTTCATTTTGCACCCCCCCACCCCCCAGTCTCTCGATTTAAAAAGCAGTGAATTCAGTATCCTTGAGAGCTCTACCAAGTAGTATTTTTAAGTAGCATTATGGCTTAAACTACCAATATAAAAACATGATACCTTCATTTAGTCAAAATATATTTCATTTGATCCATTAATGAGTGAACAAAACTATGTTTACATCTTCAAAGTTTAAAATGTGCTGTGCATGTGTCCACACTCACACTGAATAACATACATTTGAATGCTTAACGTCAAGTGTCTAAAACAGGAACCACTGCCCTGGCACTGTTTAACTGGGTGAAAGCGAAGGGAGACAGATACCTTCTTTCCCATGATATTTACTTTGGGCAAATCAGATTTCAGATGTACCTTTTTGGGAATTGTATATGCCACTGTAATTCCTTCAGGTAAGTCAGGGACTGGACCTGAAGAATTTTTCAATTCCTCTTCAGAAACCTCAGATACCAACTCAATACCTGTAGAGTGAAATTTGACCTTTTAACAGTTTTTAAGGAACTTCGTAAGCAACATTCAATACTGATATGATCTCAAGTATAGCTGCAGTCACACCACAGGAGGTTCTGCTTTATGCTGCCATTCTGTCTGCGAAAGGGCACCTACCCCATTCGTTGTCTTCGTGCACTATTGCTTCCTCTGCTTGAACAACCTCCTGTTTGGGCACTGCTGCCGCCTTTTTCTGTAGAAATCAAACAGTAGCAAAGTGTTTTTCTCATTATTAATTCTCTCAAGCAATAATTAAGAGTTCAAACAGTTTATCTTATTAAAAACCAGAAAGGACATTGAATAGAATTTTCATTTTTGAAGCATGGCACATAGATTAAAACTAAAAATATAAAATCTATTTATCTTACATGACATAATTTTTTTTAAGTTATTGTCTTATGCAATGTGATCTTTCATATACTCTGACAGGTACATATACCTTGTATTCTTCTTGCTGCTTCCTGCAATTTCTGTCATCACACTGTGGATTTGGCTTCATGGACATGGTAGGGAAAAAATCCTGCATTGCATTGTATCCAAGGTAGAAACTAACAGTACCGAAATTTAACAGAAACCTAGAAAAATAAATCAAAGTAGACTTAAAAAAATAAAACCATAAAAGCATTAGAAATAATTAGCTTGTTTAAAAGTCATGTTGAAGCAGACAGTGTTTTTGTAACAAGCAACCTAGAAATCAGAGACTTTTTATCTTGTTTACAGGGCCTGGCTCAACTAGGTATTTGCTACCTGAATGCATGAAAGAAAAATGAAATGCATAATTTACTTTTTTTAAGTTATAATTAGGACAAAATGTTGGCAACCTATGGTATGTCAACAGCTTTAAGAAGCAAACTTATTTCAGAGAAGCTAAAATATACAAAGTATCACCCCCTGGGAGAAGTGAGTCTTAGAAATTCCTTAGATGGTACTAAGCCTGGGGATTCTAATATTTTATTTTCTACATATAACTTACTATAAAATTTATGATCTTAAATGTAAGTTCAATAAAAGCTTATATAGTCACTAAGATCAAAACAAGAGTTTTTGCAGTATGCCATAACGCACCCTCCTGCTCTGTCAGTCAAGTGAAATTTAAAAAACTAGACATAACTGGTAATTCCAGTCCTTTTAATGCTTCCTAAAATACATTTATTTTTATCAAAAGCAAACAAAACTAGTCAGCAGCAGGAGCCCTCACTCACTTTAACACGTTTTGGACGAGGATCCCGGCAACCACACCCATAGTGGTGGGGAGACTGGCCGCACAAACGCCTTCTCGTTTCAGAGTCTTTTCGTCAATGTTCGCAGCAACCACAAGCGGAGGAGCACACTGGTGGGGAAGCAGAGAAGACACTTCCAAGGAAAGGGAGGAAGGAGTTCCAGACAGTGTCCCATCACAGGCCAGGTTTGTTTCCCTTTGAATTGTAATACAGCGTCTCTCCTCAATGCCCCTAGGAACTCCAGTACTTAACAGTAAAAAAAAAAACCCAAACGAAGACTGCCTACCGCGAAACAGGCCGATTCCCCGGGAATGATGAGCTGGATATGCCCCGAAACTGCATTTTCACTGACACCTGATTCCATCCACGTTTGTCCAAGTTCATTACAAGCCTTAGTAGAAGTAGATGAAAACACAATCAGACCAAGAAATAATTTACCAAACATTCTTCTGTGTTTAAGGATTATGAAAAACTAGTTTTCAGACTAAAAGAGGGAATTTGTTAGTAAGGAATCCCTGGGCAGTTGCCACAGTCTCAAAAAGGGAACCTACCAGCACTCGGGTAAGCTGTCAATGAGGAGCTAGCTAACTAAACTGAGCCAGAGTCACTGGGTTTCTTATCAATGTAAAAATTAATTTTTCTAAAATAATTTCAGCAACAAAAATCGGCAAAATTTATTTGAAAAGTTAAAACCAACAGTTAAAGGAAAAAATTCAGTTGCATTTCTTGAAAAAGCATGTTTGTTGGCAGTTTACAGTATTTATAAATTTACTTAAAAAACAGTAAAAGCAATTAAGACCAACATTAAGAATAGCCAGTATTATACAATGTGCATTTATTTAAAAAAATTATATATCAGAAGTTCCCATGTGCTAGTTCTCCCTGTTGACATGAGCGAGCAGGACAGCAGCATACACCACCAGGAGCAAGGTGAGCCAGGCCCTGAGGCTACCAGAACATTCCAGGTAAACAAAACTCATGTAAAAGGGTTTAAATGAAGAACTGTTTTTAGGATGGGGAATATATGCTGTCAGGATATCTGGGCCAGTGTATAAGTACCACGGTTCACACTACAGGAATACTCACCGTATTGATGGTCATTCGCGCTTCAAAATTGTCCACACAGCTAAGAACTAGGTCAACAGGTTTTCCCTCTTCTAATCCACCATTACTAGGCAAAGAAAATAATTTTTTTTTGAAAAAAATCAGGATGCAAAATATATCCTAGTTAGACTTTTTCAGTCACATTTAATCTTTCAGTAAGTGTTTGAATATAATTAAGACAGTATTTAATAGTAAAGATTCAGTAACTATTACAGAAGTTACCATTTTTCTAACAGCTTTCATGTTCATTCATGTTCATATAAATGCAAATGTAATAAATATTTTAATAAAAACTCCAGGGTTGTTAGAACAGTTTTTACAGAAAACCACTTTCAGACAGAAATATACTCTAGAACACAGCAGTCATAATTGAAATTACCTTATTATAACAAGGTTTTTTTTCTGGTTTTCATTTTGCTGTATTTTTTTTTTTACAATAAAACAACAAACAAACAAAAAAACACTTTTAACTAAGTTCCTAACATAAAAATTATGCCAAAAATTAACTATTTTAAAAACACCCCAGTCTAACCAGTCACTGAATTACTCATGAGTAGATATTTCTGGTAAGACTTATTAACTGAGCTGGACATTGTGTAAAGTAAATAAGATTTTACCTTATTCTATTCATGAAATGTTGAAAGTTTTCTACTGTGGTTATATTATAGTTGTGCACTTCAAAAACAACATCAGGATTAATGTTCCTAAGAGGTAAAAAGGGAAATGATTGTAAAAATTACTAGTAGGAATAAGAGAAAGCAGGAAAAAGACTAAAAGAACCAAAGATCATTTAAGAAAAATTAAAGAAATAGAATTCAAGCATTCAAAGAAAATCCATTAATTTCACAACATATATAAATCAAGTCAGCATGCTGTATGTCTTTAAACTTATATAGTCAGATATGTCAGTTCTTAATCTGAGGGAAAGAAGAAGAAATTCAAAATTCCTCTTCTAATTCTTTTGTCACTTAAATTAAGAACTAGGTTCAAAATGTGTGAAAGGATCACTAAAATGTTCCCACAATCTATGTGCTGGGAATTAAGCTACAGCTCAGTCTGACAAAGGCTTCTTCCATATTCAAGTCAGCAAAAGTACATCTGAGGCCACAAAGAGCCTCAGAGCCTGAGGGCTGGCAAACGACGGCTGTCAGGCAAAATCTGACCCACTACCTGTTGTGTAAGGTCCGTAAGCTAAGAATGATTTTTACATTTTTAATAGTTACAGGGAAAAAAAAAAGTAAAAGAAGCAATAGTACATGACATGTGAAAATTACATGAGGCTTAAATTTCAGAGTCCATAAATAGTTTTATTGGAGAAGCCATATATTCATTCATTTTTGTATTGCTCACAGTTGTCATCACATCTCAGCTACAGAGCTAAGCAGTATTGACAGATGACCTCAAAGCCTAAAATATTTACCCTATATAGAAGGTTGCCAATCCAGATCAAAAAGCTAAGAGAATTCTGTGTATAAGTGAAACCTGCATTTAAAGAGCAAAATCTAGATCCATTCATACACTCAGGAAGTCAGACCAAATATACAAAGACTTCACTAATTATGATCTCTGTTATTCTACTTACCTCAAAGTATGTTCTGCTGCTTGAACTTTACTCAGCCCTGCCTGATGGGGTTGGAAGAAAAGTCTGTTCATATTGGCCAGTTCCACCTTGTCATAGTCAAAGAGCAGCAGCTGAAATTAAAACAAGGCGTCTGTTGAAAAACATACGACGCCAAACCAAAGACAACAAGACAGACTAATGGATTCGCATTTGATGGGTTTAGCAGTTCAACAGTGATCACATTAGCTAACTCCAAAACACTAGGTGCCTTGAGATAGCTCACTTAATGCTCTGAGAGGTACAGACAGAGGTACTGTTATCCTCATTTCAGAAACGAGGCAACTTGGGGACTTGACCTCAAGTCACTCAGCAAGCATCGAGTGGAAATGGAATTCAAACTGAGGCCTTCTCAATCCAGTATCTGCACCCTAAACACAGCAATGTACTGTATTCTTCTCTAAATGACTCAGAGAGAAATTAATGTTCATTAGAATTCTTTAAAACTGTGTCAAAATCTGACTTCATTCCAAATTTTTGCCAAAAACCAGGAACCTATTAGATAAATGATTTAAATAAGATAAAACAAGTGCTGTAACTTAAAATTACAGTTTAATATGACTCCTTTTGTGACTAGTACACCATATACACATGTCTTGGCAAAAACATCACTCCCAATGGAACTAGCAGCCAGCTAAGTCAGCTCTTGTCTCCTGGTAGAGATTTTGGTAGGACAGCATTTGTCACTCACACAAACATAAATTTTACAATGTTCAAAAGATCCCATTTCTTATCAGAACAGGTTGGACTCAAGGATTTCAAGCACCTAAAATTCTGTGACACTGTAATACAATACTCAGCATCCTAAATTTAACAATGTAAACAAAAACATGATTTTTCTGCTTGATGCAGATACTACAAAAATAAATAAATAAGTACATTCAGCCCATAATAATCAAACTGGGTAATCCTTTAATATTTTGCTAGAAAAGAAAGCACTTATGCTGTCTATGATAATTTTCCAACCTTACTTAACATTTCTAAAACATGGTTTATTTAAAATTATTCAACAGTGTTTATTTTATTAGGTCAGGGTAACTATTAAATTTGACTGTAGACCATAAATGCCAAATTTGAGGAGGATTCAGGAAATCCTAAATTTGATCCTGGGTATGTGTCAGGGCAATAATAATCAGCTACACACATCTACTGGCTGACTTCTGTAAACCTCCTGAAAACCTTTAAAATGTTAATGAACACCTTTATTATTTGGGGGTTGGCCTATTTTGATAAATTAGTACCAACTTTGAGGCAAAAAGAACTTCAGGCAGAGAAACTTTTTATGAGGAATTTTAGGCATGGGTGGACTAATATTAAAAAGCACTGATAAACTTTGTGGGAAATGCTTGTTTTATCAAAATGATAAAGGGAACAGAATTGTGGAAAGCTTATGAATTGAACTACTATATAACATACATCATAGATGCTGGTTTTATAAATCTAAGATTTGTTGATTGATTTCTGAGTTCTCTTTCCGAACCACAATCTAAATCAATTTAGACATAAGTAAAAAAAAAAAAAAAAAAAGTGTGAGTTAAAAAAACCCTGAATACTCTCTAGGTCAATTTAAAAAATAAGATTGATGCATCCTTTCTAGCCTGTCTTGTAAAGCATATCTGTTAGAGGTTTTGGTTACCTAGTAAAAATTTTGTTAGAGGTTTCAGTGTTCCATTCACATATTTTTATAAATTTACCAGCATTCTTACCTAAGTTTCTGTATCTGAAATGCAAGCCCAAACTGCTTATGTTACCCTGAAGAAAAAGTTCCTGAACACAATTAGGCAGTCCTTTTTAAATTAGCAGTTGTATCAGCTTCTACTTGAATGTAGTTATGTTGTAAACCCTTGGGAAGAAAGAACAATTTGGATACGCGTACCACCAGTGGATAGGCCATTGGTAACGAGAGGACATTCTCTTTTGTACCTGACCCCTCCAGAGAGAGCAGGGCCCTGCACGACATGCAGAGAGAAATATGTTACCTTCCCGATGCCACATCTTGTCAGCATTTCTGCAGTCACGCTGCCGACTCCTCCCACACCTACCACTGCCACGGCAAAGGTGCGGATTTTCTGTGAAATACAAAATTAGGTATGTCTTGGTCATCAGAAACGACTTTCCTTTGCTGAAGTTTTCTTCAAAAACATGGAAAGGTTCATCATACCTCATAGTCGCTTACAATTCCCATTCGTTTCAAGGCCATCAGGCGGCTTAAAACAAAGAAATAATGTTTTAGGGTTTATAATTTTCTAATTGTGATATAGATAAGTATACATCACACAAAATAAATGCCAAAACACAGTATTACTAATCCTTTGAAAGAGGAGAGATCTTTCAGCTGGCTCTGACACTACCCACCAGTCACCTGGACAGCTTTAAGAACATGAAGCTGGAATACCCTGTGCAGCCAAGATTGAAAGCTACTGACTTAAAATGTTAAGTAACGGAGGATGGGTCTTTAAGTGAAATCTCAACATTTTCTTTGCTTAGTATGCTCAGTATTTATATATATGTAATGTTTAACACTTAGATTATCCCATGGCTAGAATTCTGTTCACTGTGGTCTCTGTCCATTGGGGGGAGGGTGTTTTTAGTATGCACTGACCATATGCCAAGGACGCTAAGAAGTACTTTACCTAGTTATTGCTGCCTATTCTGCTATCTTCTTCAGTATTTTAAATATATATGTAGTTTAAACATCTATACAGTTCCCACTCATTTACACTTTTAGATTCAAACAGCTCTACCAGTTTGTTAGGAAATTCAGCATCCTTTGGCCAACCCCCACTCCTGTTTTCTTTTTTCTCACCTTCAGCTGTTACCAAGTATCTCTAAATAACATGTTAACATTGTTATGTCTTGATTTTAAGTTCTAGGCAAGACTCTGTTCTTACCTGTGGTCCCTATATCACACGAATACTTCCCGTCATACCTGCCTCTTAACTTCGTGAAATGGTCCTTTGGCTAACTGTTACTGTCCCCAGCTGGCCAATGCAGTATGTCAAATTTGCCCTTTCCTATAAAATTCTTGTCCTCAAAATGAACACTCGTTCTTCCACTTAGCTTAATTTCCTATGTAGTTTCACACGTTCAACTCCAGTTGTCGAAAATTTCTCTAAAAACAGTCACATCCATTTGATGTTCGAATCAATTTTACCTTCTTAAAGATTTGTTTACTAGGATCCTCTGACATGCCTCCTTCTACAGACTCTGTACACATAGCTTAGTGTAGGTGGTTTAAAAATGTATGTGTATGTGTGTGTACGTCTCCACACACTAAGACTTTCACAGCTATGTTACAAACAAAACTTTAAATCTAAACTTGCCTAACTTTAAAGGGAAAGAGCAACAATAACATCTTTCCTGTTTCACCTACTTTAAAATTATTCAATTCTTAGCTATAATACTTAATGGACTACCTGTTTTTACTGAGACAGTTCTCTGTGCACTCTGCACTAGACAAAGCCAGTCCAGGCCTTATTACCTACTAGTGGCTCCATGACTTGAGGCAAGTTACAGCAGCTTTTTTTTTTTTAAGATTTACTTATTTGTGCATACAGAACTCGGGTACAGGCCAGAGACTCAGGGGTGGCGAAAGACTTCACCAGAGACAGAGTGGGGAGCAGAACAGGCAGATTGACGAAGTACACTGCTGAGGGGAGCAGCGGGTGGGTCAGGAGAGGTCTGCCACACCATGTGGTCACCTCCAGGGCAGGCGGGAATCCGAACTCATGTGGAAGTGGTTTCAGCTTCTTAGTGCAGTGCTTTAACCCTGCGCCACCAGGGAGGGCCCACAGCAGCTTTTTAAACCTCCATTTTCTCCATTATAAAATAGGGTAAAATAATGTAAGCCACAGGTTCGTGGTGAGGAAAAGTGACACTACATGTGATGTGCTTATTCAGCAGGCGGTACTCCAATAATGTGTACCCAGCAATAGTCTGTACAAAGCTTAGCATGTGCAAGCAACTTTCCTAAGCATTTGGCACGATCATGTTCAGTCCTCACAAGTCTGACAAAAACAGTACAAGTATCCCCATATTACAGTGAGAAACTGCAGCAGGGAGGTTCAGAACTTCCCAGGGTTACTCAGCAAGGGACTTGGGATTTGTGTCTTATCACCGTGGCTCCGTGGTCCTTACCCTTAACCACTGCACTGTGGTTCCGTGGTCCTTACCCTTAACCACTGCACCATGGCTCTGTGGTCCTTACCCTTAACCACTGCACCATGGCTCCGTAGTCCTTACCCTTAACCACTGCATGCTTCCTCTAGGAATTTAGGTGAACACCTGGGTTCCAAAGTACTGGGAAGATGGTTCCAGTATTCTACACCATACGCCTAGGCTTGTGTAGGCTACAGATCTCGGTTTGTGTATTATTACACGGCCTTTTGCACAACAAAATCGCCTAATGGGGTACTTCTTAGATGATAGTTCCTTCTTAAGCTACCCATGACCACATACTCCACTGCAACCTTAGGAAAAGAGAGCTGCTGACAGGGCTGGCAGTAAAGTCGATGACTTTAGAGCTAATTCAGCTCTCCAGCCACACCCCAAGTTAATATTCACTGCTAAGCTCAAGCATAGCGGGCTTGGATGTCATCTTCTGAAAGGTACTACTGTCAGTCTTAATGAAAGCGAGAGACTCACAGAGGTCGTGGCCGTAAGACACTGGATACGTGTCCTGAGGAGGCACAGTGGCAGCACCATATGGCAGGTTCACTTGGGATTTTTTAGCGACATAAAACATATAAAAGGCCAGGACTAAGACTTGGCCCTGTTCGTGCGGGAACAGATCTCCAGAGCAGGGAAAGGGAGGCGGGAGGCCGCGTGAGCTGCACTGGGACAGCGCGCATCGCTGCCCACCGCACGGGCACGGCGACCACCCCTCCCCCGGCCCCTGGACCGCGACGCAGGTCACCTGTAGGGGTTGGAGTCCACCACCTCCGGGCTCATCTTCTCGATGCGGGCCCGGCCTCCTCCTCCCTCGCCGCCCCCCACGAGCCGCCGGCTCCTCTCCTGGGCCAGCTCCTGCTCCAGCTCCTGTACCCGCTGCTGCAGCCGCTCCACAGATTCGGCCATGGCTGGGACCCCGGCCGCCAACGCCCCCAGCCCGGGCCTTCGCCGCCGCCGCCTCCCCACGCTGCTAGGCCGGCAGCGCCCGCGAGAAGTAGGGGAGCCGCCTGGCAGCCGCCAGCCGGGTGCGGATCCCGGGGAAAGCGATCCCAGCGCCTCCGGGACCGACACGTCTCCGCCACTCCCGCTGGCCTCCCACGGTACCGCTTCCGGTGTGTTGCCGTCATCGCTCCCCCTCAGAAAAAAACCGCCCCGTTTAAACTTCCTTCTTCCCCGGGTCCTAAGAATGCAGGCCGCAGCTCGCTGGGGTCATGTGTCCAGGCGGCCCGCGACGTCGCCTTTCCAACCGGGAGGCCAGGAGAAACACTGGGACCCTTTATTCCTGGGCGCGAGTTTCTGACGGGCCTTTTTCTGAACCGGACCCGCGTCTTCCGCCCGCAGGCACCTCCGAACTTAAAGGTGGAAGAGCTTTGGCGAGCTAATCTGCCCGTTGCGACGAACGCGATTTTGCTTTCTTTAAAATGGTGGCCGCCATTCTCTCAACTCTGAGGCCGACAGAAAATTTTAAATCCGAACACACACGGCAGGACAGGCGTTCCCCGAAAAGAGTTCGATTCTGTAGATACGCCGGCCCGCGTTGCTCGGCAACGGCGTTCAGGGTGTGTGATTGGCTGGCGTCGCCGAGGCCCCGCCCCGCTGTCCCGCCCCTCCGGTGGCCGCGCTCGGGGACTTCTAGGATCGGGCCGCGGGCGCCGGCCACCGCGGCTCTGTGTGTCTGGCAGCGGCGGACATGGAGTCCCGTGCCTCCCCGGAGCCGGAGACGGCCGACGTGTTGCCTCAGCACAAGTTCGACTGCAAGGCGCTAGAGGCCTACCTATACCAGCATCTGCCGGGCTTTGGGGCCGAGCCCGAGGCCAAGCTGACCGTTGTCCAGTACAGGTATCGGCGCCGGCCTTCAGCGGAAACGAATCTGCGCTCTGTGCTTCTCTTCCCGGGCCCTGAGCGGGCTCCTAATTTCGCCCGGCGGGTTTCTTTTCCTGCAGCCACGCGCTGTGCAGGCGGGAGCTGGCATCACCGCGCCTGCGTTCCGTTCTGGGTATTTGGAATTCCAGGGGAATACTAGGAGCCCATAACTGAGGATTCCAACTGTGGAAAGGAGTCTTCGGTAAAAGTTTCAAACCTCGAGCATTCACCGAGGCAATTAAAGTTGGAAGCTCTGTGGAAAATTAAGAGACCTCTCAACTTAAAAAAAAAAAAATTAGATTATCTCACGTAATTCTATAAACAAGCCCAGTTTTCTGAAATTGAGTTAATCGCACCGACCAACCAAGGGATCTTAGGTCTTCCACTAGGCAAATCACAGAATTTGTTTCAGGCTTCACTTTTTTTAAATAAGGGAATGGAATTGGACGAGTATCTCAGAATGCTTGTCGCCACTCAGGGACTCTAGTCGGCTGTTATATAATAGCAAATAAAACTTGAGCTATTCTCACATATACTACATATCATGTTGCAGAGCTCTGTTAGATTTTACTGACTGGAAATTCAAAACTTTCTGTTTCCTAATCTGTATTATCAGCCTGTTCTGAGTAATTCTGGTAATTGCATGGAGTAATATAGGTGAAAGGGCTTAAAAACTGCAGTGGCACATTAGACCAGCAGCCTTTATCGCTGGCATTTACAATCCTTACCTGTTCGTTTCAGTGAAAATAAAAAAATGAACACAAAGAAGATGGACCAGTTGGGTTACAGAATTAAAAGTTATCATGTTCCAGTCGATATTGGAGAGTGAAGGAGAAATGGACTAAAAAACAACTGAAATTTCTACCCTAGGAGCTTTGTGTTGAAACCAAATTAAACAGATCAAAGTTCAAATTTCAAGAGCAAAAATGATTCAGCTACTATGTATACCAGAGTCAAAACATTGGACAAATAAACAGTGTGTTGTTTAAGGTGCTAAACAACCAGGAAAGTGATAAATAAAACAGGACCGTGGCGACCCCACGGACACACACAGCCTCTCAGCAATCCAAGGTGCAGGTCTCTGACACCGGGCAGTGGGAACACTGGTGTCTGTTGTGTTGACATGTTTTTTACCTGTGCAAAATTCACTTTTAGAATTTGCAAACATTAAACCATATGGAGATGCAAAATATTTAGAAGAAATAACAAAAGTATTGTTTAGCTTGATACAACAAAATCTGTGATTTGCTGCCTGGTGCCTAAGATACACCTGGCATTGCACCAGCCACTGTTGATCCCAAACCCAAAAAAAATCTTGCCTTTTTGGTGCTTCCATTCTATATGTAAAAAAATATATATATAGTAAGCAAAATCAGTTTCTAAGTATTGCAATGCAGGAGATGAAAGACGTCCTAGAGGGAGACAAGGCTAGTAGAGGCAGGCTGTGCTGAGGAGGGGGCGTTCAGCAAAGCCTTGAAGGAGATGAGGCGTGAGTCCCGTGGTGGGTGGTCTGGGGCTGGGCCTCCAGGCGGAGGGGACAGTGGGAGCGCAGGCTCCGAAGGGGGCATGCGTCCATGTGTGGAGGGCACACAAGGCGAGGGCCTGGAGTGTGTAGCAGGGCAGCAGCAGCCTGGTTTGCCCTTCGAAGGACGTTGGCCTTTACTTTGAGCTGAGATGCCCTTTTTGTTAAAGTGAAGGGGGCAAGTGAGCGGAGACCAGTTTGGAGTGTAACAATCTCATAGACATTAGTGTTACAGTACAGGATATGTACGAAGCCCTATTCTGGATTTGTTTTGAAGCGTTTTCTGGTAGATCAGATGTAGGGTATGAAAGAGAGGTAAAAAGAGAGAGAGAAATAAATATTATTTTATTTTTGCCTTGGTAACTGGAAGGGTGGAATTAGGAAATGAAGTGGAAATGGCTGCAGAGAAGCATATTTGAGGGGGGACATCAGGAACTTAGTTTCAGAATGTCGTGTTTCAAGGTGTCCTTTGGACAGCCAATATGCACAGCAAGGGCTGGTGATGCGAGCCAGGGCAGAGACTGGACACTTCGATCTGGGAGTCACTGATGGAGAGGGGGTGTTTCAAGGCACAAGACCTCAGGATATACCTAGAAAAAGCATCTGTACTCTGACAGCAGAACAACAGTCGCCAGAGGGGAAGGGATGGTAGAGGGGGCCTGTGGGTGGGTGGCGGATGGTGACTGGATATTTGGTGGTGAGATATATGTTCAGTTGCTGAGGGGAGAAATTGTACACCTGAAACCTACACAGCATTGCAATCTATGTTACCTCAATAAAAAGAAAGAAGAAAAAGGAAATGAGTCTATAGAGGAGGTCAGGAGACTTAATCCCAGGCACCCCAATGTTAAGAAGTTAAGGAATAAGGGGGAACTTGCAAAGGAGTCTGAGAAGGAGTGAGTAGAAAGGCCAGGGACACCGTGGTTTGAGTCCATAGCAATTTTAATGAACTTGAACAAGTAATTTCAGTGGAAAGAGGGATGAAAGCTTGACTGAAATGGGTTTAAGAGAAAGCAGAAGTGAAATGAGAAGTGTAAACAGGTCTTGAACATGTCATGTATGGTCATGTTTGCTCACGCAATCCTAGATTGCATCACCTACCGCAGACCAAGGCCACACACTCATGCAGACTGCACGCCCATCATTCACCCAAGCGTCGCCATCTGGCACATGACAGGATAGCTATTTCAAATAGAGAGGGATGTGGAGTCCAGACAATAGGTTTCACAGTGAGAAGAGAGAGAAAACGTTGTACAAGAGAAGATTGGAACGAATCCCTGAGGTGACGAGCAGGCTGGGATCGGATTCTCAGAAAGGACTGTGCTTAGATAGGAGCGAGAACATTCTTTTGCAGATACTCCAGGGGCCAGAGGGTACCTGTGCAAAGGTGTCATATGTGGCAGATAGGACAGCGTGGAGTTCTCACCTCGTTGCTCCTGTTTTCTCAGAGAAGCCAGAAACTAGGTAATCAGAGAAGGTGTTGGAGGACTTTTTTTAAAGATTTATTTTATTTATGGCCTTCCCTGGTGGCACAGTGGACTAAAGCGCAGCACTGCAAGCTGCCCACAGCTACTTCAGTGCAAGTTTGATCCTCGCCCTGGAGGTGACCCACATGGTGCGGCAGACCTCTCCTGAGCTGCCCGCTGCTCCCCTCAGCAGTGTACTTCATCGATCTGCCTGTTCTGTTCCCCACTCTGTCTCTGGTGAAGCCTCTCACCGCCTCTGGCTTTTACCCCAGTTCTGTATGCATAAATAAAATAAGCCTTAAAAAAAAGATTTATTTCATTTATACATACTGGCATACAGGCCAGAGGTGCCAGGGTGGTGAGGGGATTCACCAGAGACAGAGAGGGGAGCAGAACAGGAACAGCAGGCGAGACTGGAGAGGTCTGCTGCGCCATGTGGGTCATCTCCCTGGCCAGAACTTGTGGTGAGGCAGCTGCAGCTAGCTTCCCAGTGCTGCACACGAGGGAGGGCCCCATGTTGGAGGTTTTGAAGAGAGAGAAGTTGTGAAATAGTCAGCCAAGAATGTGGGCTCACCCAGGGCTAAGGAAATATGATTGCCAGGCAGGGTTCACTTTGAGGTTCATGGCCATGAATTTGAAGCACGAGTAGTTACTTTAGTAGATAGTGGTATTTCCCCAGATTTCTTTTGTGTCCATGTACTGTCTGGTTTGGTGACTTTCACTTCCCATCGCCAGCACTTGAAACACTATTTTGGCCTGTCCTTGACGTAATGGAGTTTCTTTGGCCTGAATGTTAGAGTGCCAGAGATGGCCCTTAGCCACTGCCAGTTGATGAGGAATACTAAGGCCCATCATTCTGGCCTCTGAGATAGGACAACTGTCAGGTGTCACTTACACTGAAGTGTCTTCTCCCCACAGAGCGATTAGGCTGAATTGTCTCAACTCTTATTCTTACTTGACTTCCTCCTCCCAGACCAGTTTTCCCAGTTCCTTTTTGGTGTAAGCATTTTCTTTCTAGGTCACAGGCTCACAAATAGTTCTCTCAGGATCTGCTTGGAGGAGACCTATGCTAAAACAAAGCCCACACTGTACGTCTTTCCCCAGCTTCATTCAGTTGTATAAGTGCAGGAGGAGAGCTGGATTTGACCCAGATGGAGGAAGCCTCCTCACCATGAAGTGAGAGGCAGATGCTGAAGATGCATTCAAGGGAGTGGTCACATGCCTGTCCAATTTAAGCAAGTTAAGGAAAGGGCCTGGTCGGGGAGGGACGCTAAGGGTGGTGAACAGGAAGTGTAACTCGGGGAAGTTCAATAGCTCCTAGGGTTGTTGGGAGAAAGATTGGAACTGAGCACTAGTAGCTGTGCATGGATAGGTGGGAGACTGGGGTCTGAGTAGAAGTGCTTGAAGTACTAGTAGGCTGGCGCAGGGCTGGGGCTGGATATGGTGAGGGTGGGTGGCGTGGGCTGAGTGGCTGACTGAGTGAGGGTGGAGGAGAATATCCCTGGAGAAGAATTCAAGGAGCTCACAGGCTTTGGTGCTAGAATAGCATGTTTGGGTTTTGAAATCAACACATAGGCAGCCGTAGTGCTGATAAGAGTTCCTTATCAACAACGACTCCTGCGGTGAAGGGGGTGATCTAGGCGTCTGGGGGAAACTGGACAGTAAAAGGGGAAAGGGTGTCAGCATTCCTTGATGCAGGATTCAGAGCAGGGGGAGGGGCTGAGAGGGGGGGGCAGGCGGGTTTTGGCGTTGGCATTGATTTTCCGGAGGGCCCAGTCTCCAGCCAGTTCCAGGCCTCTGCCACTTGAGAGGCCTCGCTGTCGGGATAACTTCTGGGAAGACTCTTGATTTGCAGGCCGGGAGTGAGGTCTGCTCTCCTGCCTGTGTGGTTACAAGCCTCCAGCTGCTACTATCTGCTTCTTGTGATTCCTGAACTCCTGTTCTGAGCTCCAGGAGTGCCCTTCTTGGCTTTCCTGCAATGAAAGTATTTTCATTTTTGTCTCCTCTAAGGTATCAGTAGGATTTGGAAAGAGGAAAACATGTTTTTGTAATTGACCTTTTCTCTGCTGTCCTCTAGATCAGGACAGTCCAATCCAACCTTTTACCTCCAGAAGGGCCTGCAGGCATATGTGCTCAGAAAAAAACCACCTGGCTCCCTTCTTCCTAAAGCACACAAGGTACAGCACCGGCGGCCGCGTTGTGTGCTGGTGAACGCGCGATTTTATCTGAGCAAAACTGGTCAAGCTGCCTTCAGCGCTGCCAGCGCCGTCTCCTGCCTTCCATTCTGGGAATTCTCTTTTCTACTTTATAGTTTTTATTTCTTTATCTTATGTTCTTAACCATGATAGCCCCCTATTCTGAGTATTTTTAATTCAAGGGGACTAATGGAGTCATCTGTTTATTATTACATCACCAAAAATGCATTTTATTTCTAGACAAAAATTTCCTCGAATTGTATCCCAGTGCTTTATAATGGCTTTGAGGTTGAAGCCTAAGGCTGTCTGAGGCTATTCATCTTGAGCAACACCTGGTCCTCTTAGGATTCCATCCTGTACATACAGCTGGCTGAAAAGGTATCACCAGAGCCTCCCTGGTGGCGCAAGGGTTAAATCACAGCACTATGATGCTATCTGCAGCCACTGCAATGTACAAGTTCGATTCCCAGCCAGCCAGCACAGGGCCCAGTAGACCTCTCCAGACCTGCCTGCTGCTCCCCTCAGCAGTGCATTTCAGTAGATCTGCCTGTTCTACTCCCCACCCTGTCTCTGGTGAACCCTCTCATCCCCCA